AATTAGTAAATATTGTAGAAGGATCAACTTTAAATGATTGGAATGTGAAGAAGAATTCTTATATGATAGAATTAGAGAAGGCCATGAGTTGGTGGGACTAACATATAACAACTTTTATTGAAAAGTCTAACAAAAGAATTCAATGGAATCAATCATTAATTTGGTAAGTATTATAAATTATATCTCAAGGAAAGATGAAGAAGAAGTTTATTAAATGAAGGAAGATCTTTATGAGATTCTAACATAAATCCAGGATCTAGATGAATCTCTATATTAGAAGATTCTCAATATACTAAGAAAAGAGAAGGTTTCAGACATTATTGGATTCCTGACGAAGACAAACAATATTCAGTTTTATGAATCTTTAATCAACAAGTAAGAGAATATAAAGGATGTCAAGAAGCAAGTAAATAAGATCACAAATGTTTTGAGGAATATTTAAGATCATAAATTTAGTAAGGATGACTATTCTTCAGAGACTTATTAAAAGGCAAGATTAGATCTGATAAATAGAATGAAGTTTAACAAAGGGATCACATATTTCATCAAATTTTTAGTACTACTAACAAGCTTAGATACAAAATGTATTCAATCTGGATCAAATGGACTTAGTTTATTAGTGGCCATGAAGGTTGATATGAGAAAACAATCATTTGAGAATATCAAAATAAAGAATACTTCTTTGATTGGAGGAAACTTTGTACGATGCAACTTTAGTGGATCTGAATTTGACAACGTAGATATTAGTGGAGTCAACTTGAATGGTGCTTAGTTGTTCAATTGTAAATGGAAGAACATTAGAATCCATATTTTGAATAAGTTGGATGGTCATAGTGGGATTGTGTGTTCAGTCTGTATTTCACCTGATGGAAATACATTAGCATCTGGAGGTTATGATAAGTCTATCCGTCTATGGGATGTCAAAACAGGATAATTAAAAGCCTAATTGGATGGTCATAGTAGTACTGTCTACTCAGTCTGTTTCTCTCCTGATGGAAATACATTAGCGTCTGGTAGTTATGATAAGTCTATCCGTCTATGGGATGTCAAAACAGGCTAACAAAAAGCAAAATTGGATGGTCATAGTAGTTGTGTTAGATCAGTTTGTTTCTCTCCTGATGGAAACACATTAGCTTCTGGTAGTAGAGATACGTCTATCTGTCTATGGGATGTCAAAACAGGATAATAAAAAGCCTAATTGGATGGTCATACAAGCACTGTCTACTCAGTCTGTTTCTCTCCTGATGGAAATACATTAGCCTCTGGTAGTGATGATAACTCTATCCGTATATGGGATGTCAAAACAGGATAATAAAAAGCCTAATTGGATGGTCATACAAGCACTGTCTACTCAGTCTGTTTCTCTCCTGATGGAAATACATTAGCCTCTGGTAGTGGTGATAACTCTATCTGTATATGGGATGTCAAAACAGAAAAATAACAAGCCTAATTGGATGGTCATAATAGTTGTGTTAGATCAGTTTGTTTCTCTCCTGATGGAAACACATTAGCTTCTGGTCGTGGTGATAACTCTATATGCCTATGGGATGTCAAAACACGATAATAAAAAGCCAAATTGGATGGTCATACAAGCACTGTCTACTCAGTCTGTTTCTCTCCTGATGGAAATACATTAGCCTCTGGTAGTGATGATAACTCTATCCGTATATGGGATGTCAAAACAGGATAATATAAAGCCAAATTAAATGGTCATACTAGCACTGTCTACTCAGTCTGTTTCTCTCCTGATGGAAATACATTAGCCTCTGGTAGTGGTGATAACTCTATCCGTATATGGGATGTCAAAACAGGAAAATAACAAGCCTAATTGGATGGTCATAATAGTTGTGTTAGATCAGTTTGTTTCTCTCCTGATGGAAACACATTAGCTTCTGGTAGTGGTGATAACTCTATCCGTCTATGGGATGTCAAAACAGGATAATAAAAAGCCAATTTGGATGGTCATTCTAGTGCAATCATGTCAATCTGTTTCTCTCCTTATGGTAACATATTGGCATCAGGTAGTGATGATAAGTCTATCCGTCTATGGGATGTAAAAACAGGGTAATAAAAAGCCAAATTAGATAGTCATATTAGTTGGGTAATGTCAGTTTGTTTCTCTCCTGATGGTAATATATTAGCATCTGGTAGTGACGATAACTCTATCAGTTTATGGGATGTAAAAACAGGATAATAATAAGCCTAATTATATGGTCATAGTGATTAAGTTAAATCAGTCTGTTTCACTCCTGATGGAAACACATTAGCCTCTGGTAGTGATGATAACTCTATCCTTCTATGGGATGTAAAAACAAGATAATAAAAAGCCAAATTAGATGGTCATACTAGTTGGGTCTACTCAGTCTGTTTCTCTCCTGATGGAAATACATTAACTTCTGGTAGTGTTGACTAGTCTATCCGTCTATGGGATGTCTAAACAGGATAATAAAAAGCCAAATTAAATGGTCATAGTAACTATGTTATGTCAGTCTGTTTTTCTCCTGATGGAAATATATTAGCTTCTGGTAGTGAAGATAACTCTATCTGTCTATGGGATGAACTATAAGAATAAGATCTTTAATCTTCTGATAAAAATTATAAAGATATTCTTGCTTAATTTGAAACATCACTAACTTAAAATAATCCTCTACCAGGTATTTATTGTTTAATTATTATTTAGTCTCAAATTATTCAATTCATGTTATATCCTAATAAATAATTTTGGAAACATAAGGAACACTTATCTGTAAAGGAGAATTTAGAAATCATTAAGGGGAAAATTTAAAACATTTATTCAAATCATAAGAAAGTTACTATTTTCTTAGGAGATGTTTAAGACAAAAGATAGATTTTTGAAAATTATTGTATATTATTTGTTTTGAGGATTTTTTATAATAATTCTAAATTTATTTAATATGTAAGGTTTGTTAGTTTAGCGTAAAACTTCTTAGCCATCTTTCCCCATAGTTTTTATATAAAAAAGGGTTGCCAGGACTGTTTCAACTCTATATGAATTTATTAATCAAGTAGATGAAATAGTGAAACAAATACAATTTTATAAAATCATCTAACGTATTATGATCAGTTTGCATAAATTTTTTTATTTATAAAAGGGATTCGTACTAATAATTATAATTCAAAAATACTAACCAAAAAAAATATGTCAAGAATTTATAAAATAAAGTTTCATACTAGAATTAATCTAAACTATAAAAAGTTAGAACAATTAGATAGAATGATTTTTTTAACAATATGTTTTCTAGGTAATGTTATTTGATATCAAAAGTGCTAGATATTATAAAAGGCTGAAAAGATATATGAATCATCAAGAATTATGATATTATTGAAAGGATTAAGATTAGAGGAAATAATAATCTATTCCCTAATAGCCATTTTATAATCTTAATTGCTGATTAACTTAAGCTCCAAAACCACCTTCAACTATATAATGAGTATCTATAAATAATAAACATTTATAAACCACTAAAATGTATAATCATTCTTATTTTCAAGATGATTCTAACAAAATTAATTAATATCTAGACAAATAGCATTATCCCTTAGCACTTCTAGCTTTAAAAAAACTGTAATCTTGTGCTGAACTTATCAAAATCAGCCAAATTTATTTATTTAGAAATTATCCCAAAATTTGTTTTAATTAATTTAAAGCAAATCTAGTGTAACTAAAATCAGTTAATTTTCCATCTCCAAAAATAAAATGAGAATAACCCGACTTCAATATTCGAATAATTGGATAAAAATTCTATAGAACACACTTTATATAAAAAGCAAGAAATTAATTTTATATATATTATTATGAATTTGTAAGTTCCTGATTACAAAAATATCATTAATCGAGGATTCAATTATTTTCAATAACTGTAATCATTCAGGCTTATAAGTATTTGTTAATTCTTAAGCAAAATTAATTGAAAGATATTGAATTTTGAAACATGAGTTAGTCTTATTCTATTGTATTTCAATCAGAAGAGAAACAGGCGATCTAACATAATTATATGACCATCCAAATTGGCTTTTTGTCATTCTGTTTTTAGCTATCAGGAGAAATTTAATAATTATGTCAATATATTTCTTTCAGGAAGAAAAGAGATTGATCTAAAATAATCACTTAAACCATCTATTATGTCTTTTTATTTTATTGATTTAACATCTCATAGGCAGATAGATCTTCACTACTTGAAGCTCATGAATTTCTATCAGAAGAGAAACAGAACAACATTACAAAAATCCTTGTGGCCATTTTAATTGGCTTTCTATTATTCTTGTTGTAATATCCTTATAGACAATTAGACTTATCTCTACTATCAGAGACAAATATCTTTCTATTAAAAGACTAACATTACCCTATTCTTATGACCATCTTACTTTGTTTTCCATCAAGTATTTTTAAACATCCTTGAAGATCTTGGAGGGTCATTAGAGACTACCTTTGAGCTTAAAACCCTTATAGATGTCCTCTAATGATCTTCTAAGACATCAAGAACAGTCCAATTGCTTATTATCAGCTCTAAAATTAAAGGCTCATAACATAGGTCAAACTTTATGACTCTTCCTAGTCATATTTAATAATACTAATTAGATCTTGTTAACTTTAAACCCTTTTACTCATTATTTCACTTATAAGATTTTGCTCATACTTATTCCAATCTGTAAATTGTAAACTGAAATGCTTAATTATTCTTAAACAGAGATGACAAACAAGAAGAATGAATCAATCAAACATAGAACTCAAATTATGTATAAATTAAAATATTTCATATAAAAATACGATATTCTATATTCTTCAAAAATCTAGCTCTGCAAATGTTGAAATGAATTCTCAATGTAATATTCTACATCTATTCTCATCAATTTCAAATATATGCAATGTCTGAACTTCAATTTTACTAAAATACATAAGATACTCTTATTGATTTTTTGCAGTATTTAAGCTAAAATTAGAGTTATAAAAATTCAATATTTAAAATAAAAATAAAAAAATGCCGAGTTCTTTTTAAGAGAAGAAAGCTCTGGCTGACATCTTTGGTTAAGTAAAAGATGGAGATACAAACATCTTTGGTGTCATAGTAGAAATATTTAGAAAGGAGAAAATTGAAGATTGCATTGGATATCTTTCAGAAAATGGAAATTAAACAAATTTGGAACCATACAGTTTTCAACAAGTAAAGAATTCGAAAAAAGTTGATAATGAATAGTAATTGGGTAATGTTGGAAATACCATCAAATTGCTAAAGTCTTAACAAAAATAATAGATCACTTCAATAAAAAAGGTCTTTGAAGAAAAGGAAGAATCTAAATAAAGCCTAATTAATAACATTAAGTGTAATAGAAAGATCATAGAATTTCTGTAATTTCTAGTTCACCTCACATCAATAGATGACCCTTTAATTTAATGTGGGTCTAATTCATTACATAACTTAGTTTAGATGAAGGTTGGAAACAGTCCTTAGAGAATATCAGAATAAAGAATACTTCTGTAATTCGAGGAAATTTTGTAAGATGTAACTTTAGTGGATCTGAGTTTGCTAATGTAGATATCAGCGGAGTGAATTTGAATGGTGCTTAACTATTCAATTGTAAATGGAAAAACTTGAAAATCCATGAATTGAATAAATTAGATGGTCATAGTGATTTTATCAACTCAGTTTGTTACTCTCCTGATGGAAATACATTAGCTTCTGGTAGTGATGATAAGTCTATCCGTCTATGGGATGTCAAAACAGGATAAGAAGTTAAATCCACTGATAAAAATTACAAAGATTTACTTGCATAATTTAAAGCACCGCTATTTTCAACTCATCCTCTGCCAGGTTTTATTTAATTACTATCATTTAGAATCCAACACTATTCACTATTACAATTCTAAGAATATCTTAAACACCATTATTCCAAGCACAAGGAGCATTCATCTTGAAAGGAGAATTTATCAATTATGAGGGATATGATCTAAGATTATTATTCAAATCCTTAGGAAGTTGCATTTTAGAAGACTTTAAGTAAAAGAGAGCATGATTATTCATTTACAATATTATAATTATCATTACAATAAATTTCTAATTAATTTTTTTTAATTTCTTTTAATTAAGTTCGCTCTTCATCTTCACTTCTTAGCTAGATAAGGAAGTATTTTTTTAAGTTTTTATTACTTTTCAGTCATTANAAATTGAAGATTGCATTGGATATCTTTCAGAAAATGGAAATTAAACAAATTTGGAACCATACAGTTTTCAACAAGTAAAGAATTCGAAAAAAGTTGATAATGAATAGTAATTGGGTAATGTTGGAAATACCATCAAATTGCTAAAGTCTTAACAAAAATAATAGATCACTTCAATAAAAAAGGTCTTTGAAGAAAAGGAAGAATCTAAATAAAGCCTAATTAATAACATTAAGTGTAATAGAAAGATCATAGAATTTCTGTAATTTCTAGTTCACCTCACATCAATAGATGACCCTTTAATTTAATGTGGGTCTAATTCATTACATAACTTAGTTTAGATGAAGGTTGGAAACAGTCCTTAGAGAATATCAGAATAAAGAATACTTCTGTAATTCGAGGAAATTTTGTAAGATGTAACTTTAGTGGATCTGAGTTTGCTAATGTAGATATCAGCGGAGTGAATTTGAATGGTGCTTAACTATTCAATTGTAAATGGAAAAACTTGAAAATCCATGAATTGAATAAATTAGATGGTCATAGTGATTTTATCAACTCAGTTTGTTACTCTCCTGATGGAAATACATTAGCTTCTGGTAGTGATGATAAGTCTATCCGTCTATGGGATGTCAAAACAGGATAAGAAGTTAAATCCACTGATAAAAATTACAAAGATTTACTTGCATAATTTAAAGCACCGCTATTTTCAACTCATCCTCTGCCAGGTTTTATTTAATTACTATCATTTAGAATCCAACACTATTCACTATTACAATTCTAAGAATATCTTAAACACCATTATTCCAAGCACAAGGAGCATTCATCTTGAAAGGAGAATTTATCAATTATGAGGGATATGATCTAAGATTATTATTCAAATCCTTAGGAAGTTGCATTTTAGAAGACTTTAAGTAAAAGAGAGCATGATTATTCATTTACAATATTATAATTATCATTACAATAAATTTCTAATTAATTTTTTTTAATTTCTTTTAATTAAGTTCGCTCTTCATCTTCACTTCTTAGCTAGATAAGGAAGTATTTTTTTAAGTTTTTATTACTTTTCAGTCATTTTAGGAATTAATTATTTAAAATCATAAAAAGGTTATCAATTAATGTAAAGTGATACTAATTTAAATTAATAATCTAAACTCAAAACATTAAATTGAATGAAGAGATAAAAATAAAGATTGATATGATTACTTAAAGAAAACTTAATTAAAACAACATTTGTTATATAATACATATAGGATATTATATGATAGATTTACTTAATTTATTATTATTTACAAAAGGGATTAGTCTTTACAACATAATTCATAATTTTGTAATATTAGTTCATAAATAATAAAAGATATTTTTTATAACAAAAGATAAGAAAAAAAGATACATCAAGAATATATTTAAAAATTAAACTTAATTTTAGAATGATAAAGTCAACGATTAGATTAGATGATATTTCATATTGAAAGTAACCACCTTTGATTATTATTCTTCAATTGATATTAAAAGCGTTAGATTTTATAAAAGACTGAAAAGATTAATTAATCATCAGAATTATGATATTATTGAAAGGATTAAGATTTATGGAGAAAATTATATCTTCTCTAACTTGAAATTTTACATACATCAAATAATTAACATTTATAAATTACTGAGATCATGTATAATCAATGTTAACTTCAAAAGGATTTTCACGAAATTAATTGATATCTAAACCAAAAATAATATCCCTTAAAACTTTTAAAACTCATCAACTAATTAAATTTAACGATTAAATTAATAAATTATCCATAATTCATCATAATAAAAAGCAAATCTATTGCAAAAATTGAAGAAATAGTTGAATAAAAGTAAACCATACATATCCACAATATTAAGACTTAAAAAAAAACTAAATTCTTCTCCTCCATAAAAATGAGATTAACATCCAAAAATGAATTGAATGTTAATTTTTTAGAACTAACTAAATATATAAAAAGTACAAAAGTAGTGATATTAATCATTGGCCACACGTAAATGCTTGTGAATATATACTTGTATTAGAAAATAATTATTCACTAATAGATAATTTGGTATTTTTAAATTTAAGAATTAAAGTTTATTAAAATATTTTAAAATACAAGAATTAAGGTTA